GCTAACATCAAATTGAATGGAGAGAAACTCAAAGCCTTTCCACTAAAATCAGGAACACGACAAGGCTGTCCATTCTCACCATTCTTCTTCAATATAGTGCTTGAAGTTCTAGCAATAGCAATAAGACAACATAAGGGGATCAAGGGGATTCGAATTGGAAAAGATGAAGTTAAACTTTCGTTATTTGCAGACGATATGATAGTGTACATAAGCGACCCCAAAAACTCTACCAAAGAACTCATACAGTTTATAAACACCTTTAGCAATGTGGCAGGATACAAGATCAACTCCAAAAAATCGGTATCCCTCCTATACACAAAGGATAAAGAAGCAGAGAGGGAAATCAGAGAAACATCACCTTTCGTGATAGTCACAAATAGCATAAAGTATCTTGGGGTAACTCTAACCAAGGAAGTGAAAGACCTATTTGACAAGAACTTTAAGTCTTTGAAGAAAAAAATTGAGGAGGATACCAGAAAATGGAAAGACCTTCCCTGCTCTTGGATTGGGGGAATCAACCTAGTAAAAATGGCAATTCTACCAAAAGCAATCTATAGATTCAATGCAATCCCCATCAAAATCCCATCAAACTTCTTCACAGACCTGGAGAGAACAATAACCAATTTTATATGGAAAAACAAAAAACCCAGGATAGCCAAAACAATCTTATACAATAAAGGAACTTCTGGAGGCATTACCATCCCTGACTTCAAACTCTATTACAGAGCTACAGTATTGAAAAAAGCTTGGTATTGGCATAACAACAGAGAAGTCGACCTATAGAATCGAATAGAAGACCCGAGTATTAACCCACAAACTTATGAACACCTGATTTTTGACAAGGGAGCTAAAGCTATACAATGGAAGAAGGATAGCATTTTTAACAAATGGTGTTGGCATAACTGGATGTCAACCTGTAGAAGAATGAAAATAGATCCATATCTATCACCATGCACAAAACTCAGGTCCAAATGGATTAAAGACATCAACATTAATCCGACCAGTTTGAACCTATTAGAAGAGAAAGTGGGAAGTAGTCTACAAGATATAGGCACAGGAGACCACTTCCTAAGCAGAACCCCAGGAGCGCAGACAATAAGAGAAACAATGAATAAATGGGACCTACTGAAACTGAGAAGCTTCTGTAAAGCAAAGGACACTGTCATTAGGACAAAAAGGCTACCTTCTGACTGGGAAAAGATCTTCATAAACCCTTCAACAGACAAAGGTTTGATCTCCAAAATATACAAAGAACTCAAGAAACTAGACACTAAAACTCTAATTAGCCCAATTAAAAAATGGGGTACTGAACTGAACAGAGAATTCACAACAGATGAACTTCGAAGGGCTAAAAAGCACTTAAGGTCATGCTCAACCTCCTTAGCGATCAGGGAAATGCAAATCAAAACAACTTTGAGATATCATCTTACACCTGTCAGAGTAGCCAAACTCAAAAACACCAATGATAGCCTATGCTGGAGAGGATGTGGAATGAGGGGAACACTCATCCATTGTTGGTGGGAATGCAAACTTGTGCAGCCACTGTGGAAATCAGTGTGGCGGTTTCTCAGGAAACTGGGAGTCAACCTCCCTCAGGACCCAGCAATTCCACTCTTGGGAATATACCCTAGAGATTCCCTAGCATACTACAAAAGCATTTGTTCTACTATGTTCATAGCAGCACTATTTGTAATAGCCAGAACCTGGAAACAGCCTAGGTGCCCCTCAATAGAAGAATGGTTAAAAAAGGTGTGGAACATATACACATTAGAGTTTTACTCAGCGGTAAAAAACAATGACATCTTGAATTTTGCATGCAAATGGATGGAAATAGAAAATGCTTTACTGAGTGAGGTAAGCCAGACCCAAAAAGAGGAACACGGTATGTATTCACTCATAAGTGGATTCTAACCATAATTAAAGGTCTTTGAGCCTATTATTCGTGATCCTAGAGAAGCTAAATAAGAAGATGAACCTGATGAAGATTATTTAGCTATCTGCCAGGAGGTAGGAAATAGACAAGAGTCCCAGGTAACCTCGGGTGCATGGGGGGGGTGGGAGGGTTGTCGGAAAGGGAGAGGGTTAGAGAGAAGGGACTAGGGGGACTGGGATGGGGGGAGGGAGGAAGGATGGATATGGGATCAGGCAAGTATATACTTCAACTAAGGGAATCATTTTAGGGTTTACAAGAGACTTGATTATATATGGGATCCCCGGTCCAAGGAGAGATCCCCAGATGGTTCTTTGGACAGAGGAGAGGGTGCCTAAACCGGCCTTGGCCCACAACCATACTGATGAATATTTTGCATATCACCATAGAACCCTCATCTGGCGATGGATGGAGATGGAGGCGGAGACCCACGTTGGAACACTGGACCTAGCTCCCTAGGTCCAAATGAGAGGCAGAAGGAAAGAGAATGTGAGCAAAGAAGGCAAGGGCAGAGGAAACCTTCATCCGACGTTGGATGGCGATACAGACAGAGACCCATATTGGAGCACCGGACTGAGCACTCCACGGTCCAAATGAGGAGCAGAAGGATGAAGAAAATAAAAAAGTAATCAGGACTGCGAGGGATGCGAGCACCCACTGATACAAGGGGACTGATATAATGAGAGTTCACCAAGGCCTGTTGGACTGGGACTGAATGAAGACGTGATCCAACCAGATTCTCTGAATGTGCCTGGCCTGCAGCCTTTCTGAAAAGTCATTGACAATGACACTGGGACTTGCTTCCTCTGCATATACTGGATTTTGGCGCTCCAGTCTGTTTGGACTCTCACCTTCCCTGAACCTGGAGGGAGCGGGGAGGAACTTGAACTTCCCACAGGGCAGGAAACCCTGACTGCTATAGGGGATGGAGAGGGAGGAGGAGAGGGAGTGGGGGGAGTGGGAGGGTGTTGGGAGGAGGGGTGAAATGGAAACTTTTATAATTTAATAAAAAAAGAAAAAAGAAAGAAAAAAAAGACATTGGGAGGGGTCTGGTGTTGTACAATGGTATCTGCACAGTCAACATTGGCCATCTCTACTCATTCAACTGTTCCAACTTGTTAAAAGAACAACCTTCTGGCTTGTTGACTAGTGATGTTCTCTCATACTTAAAGAGCTTGGGGATCTAACCAGGGTATCAAGTCTCTCCTGCTAGGCATTTGTCATATTTGGATATGGTTTTAGTGTTTCAAGGAGAGGCTAGAGAAAAGGTTGGGGAAGACTAGAGAGAAGAACCTCCATCTAAGCAACCATGAAGAAGCCTTTAGGATGAAGACTCCTGTGAGGATGCTTTAGGTTTACCAGACTTATGTTGGCAAGTCTTCACCCAGTGTTTGTGTACATGGCACGATAGGAAGGAAATGCTGGACCAAAGGAAGACTGAAACTAAGCAGGGTATTCTAAAATCCTAGAGCTCCATGTCTCATGTAACCAGCATTAGATGGCTCTGTACTTACTTTTTTTGCTTGCAAGTAAACAGTTCTTTCAGATGATTGTTCTCCTCCCTGTATGCAATTCTGCTTGACAGGTATCTCAAAGCTCTGGCATCTCCAATATATTTTAATCTATGATGCTGCCCCTAATTCATGTTTACAGCCATATGCAATGAACATTCATATTTTTACTTTGGGCACTCCTTTGCCACAAGGCTGGCCAAAGCAGGTCTTTGAAATTTTACAAAAGTTTTTCTCATGTATCTTTCATGACTCTAAATCCAACATTCCACAGGTGACATTGCCAAGTTATGCTGTTAGCTTGAGATAGAACCTTGACACATTGAATCACATTTGCAGAGTAATTTGTCTTCCTAGGAACAAAAAAACTTTAGGCTTTTTATTTTACGAGGAAGGACCTCAACTCCTTAGTATCTTACCCTCAGGGTACATTTTCCTGATGTGGGAGTGTCCTCTCTGTGCTGTGATTACCATTAATGAATAAAGAAACTGCTTTGGTCCTATAGCAAGGCAGAACTTAAGTAGGCAGGGAAAGCTAGACTGAATATTGGGAAAAAGAAGGGCAGAGTTAGAGAGATGCCATGGAGCCACTGCCGGAGATAGATGTGCTGAAACTTTGCTGGTAGACCACAACCTCATGGTGATATACAGATTAATAGAAATGGGTTAAATTAATATGTAAGAATTAGCCATTAATAAACTAGAGCTAATGGGTCAAGCAGTGGTTTAATTAATACAGTTTCTGTGTGATTATTGCGTGTCTAAGTTAGCTGGGTGGCCAGAAACCAACAAACAGTGCCCTCCTCCAACATTTTCCTTTATTTCAGGAAAGATTAAACTTCTCTTTGTCTATTTTAGTACAAGTCTGTCCCTTTGGCAGGTTTATAGTTGCTAGATGTCAGAGACTTCAAAAGTGTTGTTGGTGTGAGTCTTTGATTTCTGATCTGGTTTTAAGTGAATTTAGGGTTACTTAAACAGTGGGAGGACTTAAAAAGTAGCAGAAAAGGTTTTTCATCTGAATAGAATCTCTAGTCTACATGTGATGCGGGAGAATTGTCTGTATTCTGTCAATCATATTTTAATAAAACGCTGATTGGCCAGGCAGGCAGTATAGGCGGGTCAACCAGACAGGAAGTAGAGGCGGGGCAATGAGAATAGAATAAGGCTACGGAGGAGGAAGGTCCCTCAGCCATTCCTGCGCAGACCACCGAAGAGGCAACATGTAAGCTGGCACACTGAGAAAGGTACTGAGCCCATGTGGCTAACATAGATGAGAATAATGGGTTAATATAAGTTATAAGAGTTAACAAGAAGCCTGACCTAATGAGCCAATCAGTTTATAGCCTTATGGAGTCTTGTGTGTGATTTCTCTTTGGGACTTGCCTGTACCTCTCACACGCTGAGATTTAAACTGTGGAGCCAACAGAACCTGACAGTAGTTTTCACACATACATACATAAACATATACACATATAAACACATACACATATATACCTGTATGTGTGTGTGTATGTGAATTCTAGTGTGTGTGTATAGATATATATATAAACACACATATATATATTTATACACTTATTTATTTCAAAATTCAATTTCTAAATGTGACTCTACAAGAAACAAGATCCAGAAATATTATCCCCAACAAAGAAAAGAGAAAATCCAGACAGATTCACTGCCAGATCTACTGAACTATGAAGTGAGAGCTAACAGCTGAAATCTACTCCTAGCAACTACATCATGCAGTTAATAATAATAAATCTCTTGTAACTCTACCACCTAAGGGATTTTTCCACCCTCTCCTGGCCTCTATGGGCACTTCCATACAAATAACTCCACACAATAAAACATACATAAATAAAAACAAATAGTAATAAAAGTAATAACAGTATAAAAAAGACAAAGTACAGTTACATACATTTATGGAAACTGAAACTTGCCAGTCTGTTTACTAACATAAAAGTTTTATAAAGAATTAAAAGGAAAATAAAAAATATAATAACCTCAATTAATACCTTTTCTTTGCTAAGCCTGGAGTTGGTTTACTTTCCTTCTTAAGCTGTGTTATGGAACTAACTCTGCTGGTGGAATAGCTTCTGCTTTTTTTTCAGTTCAAACTTGTTAAACTTCATTCATGGCCCATATGAAGGCCTTCAGTGGAGTCTGAACAGGTTGTTTGTTGGGTTGAACTTCTCTGTAGGCACCAGAAGGAATCAGTTCCCCTTAGCAGGTTTCCAGCTCTCAGGTTAGGATACCTCCTCAGAATAATTGTATTGTAGCCTCAGAGTAATTGTATTATAGAGAGTAGCAGTATTAGTAGGCATAGCCTTGTTAGAGTAGTTGTAGCACTGTCAGTGGAGGTGTTTCACAGTGAAGGCAGGCTTTGAGGTCTTACATGCTCCAGCTACGTACAGTGTAGAAGACAGATCACTTCATGTTGCCTGCAGATTAAGATAAAGACCTCTCAGCTCCTTCCCCACCTTCATATCTGCCTTCACACTTCCATGCTTCCCACCATGATGATAGTCATCTAAATCTCTGAAATTGTAAATGCTTTTAGTGCTGCCATTGTTTTGGTGTCTCTTCACAGTAATAAATATCTTGACTAAGACTGATGATCTATTGAAGTAATTTCACGTGTTAAAAGTTTTAAAGGTAAAAAGATGTGAACACTTAAGTTGTGAACAACAGACAAAGGGATTTGAGATGTGAAAAGGATAAGGAAAAATAAATTTTCATATTTCTTTCTCTCCTTTTATGCTTTTGTTCTACTAAAATTTCAAAGTTTCAGATTCTTATCATTAATTAATAGAGTTCTGGTAAGCTTTTTTCTATCCTTGAAAACATACTACCTACTATTATCATAGTCACAAGCTTAAAAAAATATATAATCCATTTGGTTATTTCTTTGGTATAGATTTAAAGGTGCTTCTCATTATTCTGAAATTCTTTATATATATATAAATATATATATATAATATAAAAGATATATTATATATTTTGTATATATAATATATAGAAGAAAAATCATTCATATTGTAAACACTAAACTATACTTTTGCTATAACTCTAAGGCATGAGTCTACTATAGTTGTTTTACAGATGCCTGATAACTGCTATCTCTACCATATAATTTTGCAATAGATTATAGCCAGTGACAATGCTAATATATCCAAAACTTTGTAAATTAAAGAAAACATTCTTGTAAGCTTCAAAGAGTCATGACTTGAATCAAACTGTCACAGGTCAAACAGACTCCAGATAAGTACTGCATACTCCTGTCTATCGACAGTTTAAGCGTATCCATCTACCTACTGCCTATTCCTAAGGTTGGCTCGCTCTCTCTCTCTCTCTCTCTCTCTCTCTCTCTCTCTCTCTCTCTCATCCTTATTTGCTACTCCTTGTCTTCAAACTACTATTACACTCCAACTATGAGGAGCACAAGTATAGAAATTTCAAGGGTATAGCCAAGAAAAAGGTTTTCCATTAAGTTCTCTAACTTTACATTTTTTTCTCTAGGCTGAACTTGTTTTATCAGATTTCTAATCACATAAAGACTACAAACTGATCCAAATTAAAACCATTTAGTCATAGATTTTCTGAAAAACCAATGCAAACTAGATTCTTCAGGTGGAATTTCCAACTGGCCTGAGTCTCTGACTTGAAATAGAATTTTCAGACTGCTCCAAAGCTATTTGCACTTTTCTAGCCACAGGGGGTTGGTCACTCAGAAAGTGAAAAGCAAGCAAAGAGATGTCACTCAGGCTGCAACCCTCTCTTTCCTAGTAATCATTGATCAGCACTCCTACTTTTCCAGAAGCTGACCACAACATCCTATTTTCAGCTAAGGAACAGTTACAGATAGATTACATCGGCCTTTATCATAAAAAAAGAAACAAGGCCCTATCTTGTTTGTAGACTGTGTTGGAAAGAGAAAGTACTAACAGGAGCAAAACAACAGGACTGGGCAGGAAAGAAGAAATACTGAGTAAATTACAATGATGTGCATGTATGTATCAAAGTTTCATAATGAAACCCATTATTTTATACACCCACTAAAATTAGCAAAAAGTAGAAAACGTGAAATACAAGTATTATATATTGAGCAGAAGTGTATGTTTATAAAGCTCTTACAACATAGGTTATTTGAATGAGATTTCAAAGTCTCTATAAATACAATTTATTTCTTTTGCTTAAATGTCACAGAGTAAAAATTGTTTGCAGTTTCTTGTAGTGTTTTTTATGTGTAAAATACTACCAAGATTGCTTTTAAGCTGGAATTCCATGAAGCAAACTGGAGTTAGCTGGTAATGTATAACAAACCAGTAACAAAAAAGCAAAGTAAATATTTGATGACTTAAGACTCTTTGATTCAGGGCTGGGAAGATGAGTCAGAGCTTAAGAGCACAATACTACCCTTGTATTTGAGCTGAGTTCAGTTCCTACGGCACAAGCTGGTGGCTCACAGTAATATGTAGCTGCAATCAATGGAACCAATGCAATCTTCTGGCCTCTGAAGGGACTACACACTGAAATGTGTACACACACAAACACACACACACACACACACACACACACACACACACAATTCAACCGTCATTACTCTACTACTACTACTAACACTAATATTCCTACTAGTAATTATTTTAAAACACCACAATTCTGTAATAGAATGTATTGTAGGACCACACCCAGTCATTCACATATACAACAGACAGGAAAATAAACACTACTATCCATACATGATTTAAAGATTTTAATAATTTATTACCATGGGAAAAGGCTTGGAGAAAAACCAGCCATTTTCTCCTGGAATACTTTATCGAAGGCTTCAGCTTGGGCTACTGTGAAGTGATTCTTCCAGTCCCCAATTGTGCCTGGAAAATGTGAAGCAGACACATAGATGCATTAGAGATGATCTTAACACTGATCTCTCTCCTTCCTTCAGATGCTCTTAAACATCTCCTTGGCAAGGACCACACAGCTAATAAAGAGGAACTAGCAGTAACTCTGTGACAAATACTTCTGATGCCTTGAAATAATATGAATCGGACCTCTGGAAATAATACCCCACCTTCTGTTACTCTTACCTATCAACTACACAGTCTAATAGCAACAACATGTGCCCTAACTTTTCCATGCCCAGATTATTCCTGCTCCCCAATATACCTATTTCCATCACACTATCTAACCAGACTTTCTTAACACTATTGTCCAAATAGATGTCAATTGTTCTTTCTACATTTTAGTGTTTACTTATAAAAGTTTTGCAAAACATGAAGATAACTTTTAAAATATCATTTAAAACTGATTTTATTTATGTGTGTATAAGTGCACATGAATGCAGGTGCCTGCACAGTTTGGAGATAAAAAATCTCTTGGAGCTGGAAATACACACAGTTTTGAGCTACATGGCAGACTCCATCAGATGCGGGAGACCCAGCAATTGCCCACTGTGAATGGCCAATGATTTCCCTTTTAATTATTTTGTTGTTTGTTGATGCATGAAGATACACATAATTTCATCCCCTGTCCTTTATGCAAAATTTGGTTTCTCATCAATGCATTCTAATATGTCTTTTGTTGAAAAGTTGAATTGTCTAACTGCTCACACTGCATTCCATGTTCCTTCACTATGAAGAGCTGATATCTTCCACATATTCATTTCTCATTCTTTTGTTTCCTTATTACTGCCACTGTAATATCTTTTTCTGCATCCCCTCTATGTAGAACCCTGAAGCCCTTATCTATGCTGTATTTCATTTTCATAGTTGTGATGCATTGATATGCTCTACATATTTCCATTTTGTATACAGGTTTGGGATATGTATCTAATATATTTGAAAGGGAAATGATTCTTAAACTGACAAAGGCTTCATTAATTAAAGCATATATGACATACAGAAAACGTTCAGTATGGGCTTGTTGTAAGAATCCATGAAAAGATGAGGAAGATACTGACATTTTACCCATTTTGCTGATGAAATATTAGCTCTTGAGATGTTACTTAGCATGGCAGTGATAGATTAAGATTTGAAACCAAAAATATTCTCAATGGAAAATATGTTTTTCCTTATCACATTCCTTTCTGTAAATATTAAGTAAGTTCATTGTAAATCCCCAATGGCATTTATCAAAGAAAATATAAAGAATTTATAATTAAATGATGCTTATTGAAATATCATATTTACATAATATACTATTATTTGATATGACTATAAGAGTGTCACCTGTTAGGATAGGAGTCTATCACTATCCATTGATAAAATCATTTTCATTATCATCTTCATCATTAGAACAGATTTTGTTATTGTTTTTCACAGAGTGTCAGGATCCCAGTAAACAAGACTGGATGCTAGCCCATTAGAATCTCGGCAAATTTAATATAGCTGCCCACTGAAATGACTAAGTGCAGATGAGGGAAGCATATTTGCAGGTACACACATGAAATTCTAAGTCCAAGTCTGACAAAATCCTGCGCACCTAACAAGCAGATATCTATCTTCATTTGTTCTTCCTAAAAATATCCTTAAATTCTACTCTGTCGGGGGGCAGGAGGGCACTAATGTGTGATGACTTAGGTTTTTTGGAAAGGAATTTCCTCATAGTTGTAGAAGCTGTAGGTCTCACAAAATATTATTGCCTAGACCTTCCCTGGCTTTTCTTGTTCTGTAGATAATGAGTTTCTCTTTAGGTCTTCTTCCCTCTGTGTCTCAGGTTAATGACTTTTCAGGACACCATTGAAGATAATTATTGACTAAGAACTCAGTCTAGGAAACATCCACTGTGAAGTAACAAGGGCGAAAACCTTTGAAGTTTTTCAGAAGACATTTTCTCCCATATGTCTTGATTGTGACAATGTCTTATAAAAGTTCTGTCAAATAAAAGTAGCAGATTGGGCATCAACATCTCTTTTTTCTCCATTTCCCAAAATATCTAAATATGGAATCATAGTAACCAAAATTGTTTGTCGAAAATTATGGCTTACGGTTTAAAACCAGTTTAATCCTTTCTAACCAGATGATAAAGTTTCATGGGTAGAGAACAGAATTTTGAGTAGCTTTCCAGAAGCAAGAAAAGATATTTTTCTATATCCTGAGAAAAACAACTAAAAATAGTTTAAATAGATCTCTTGTGTTCCTCCAGTATAAAGCCAGTATAACACTTAGCACAGTTTTTCATGCACTATGATTTAGGGATCTAGGTATATTGGGTAAACAATGAAATTAACTTTAGAATTAATCTTTGATCTGCTGATACCTTCCAGATTGCAAAAGTAAGCAGTCTGATGTAGGAATTTAGAAGGTGAACTGTATCCTAGTGCATTTTATTCTTCCAAAAGTATTTCCCAACATAGCTATCTCAGCATCCTCTACACAAAACTCATGAAACATGATGGGGGAACATGACGTTGACCTCCCCTTCAATGACCCGACTTTCAGTGGTAATCATGGCTTATCTTGTGTGTTATTACAAGGAAAATAATTCCCCAAAATAAAAGTTACATGCCAATGCAAAAGAAATGGATGTCACATATAGTCAGTATGATAATTTAATTAGAAAAATCTTATAGTGAAATATCAAATTATTTAACAGAACTAATACACCCACACTTCCTCCTCAAGTATGTCTGATATATTAAAAAAATACATGTTTTGGAAGAGAATAAACTAAAATCCTATTGTATTTTCATACTAGAAAGATCTTCCTTAAGGGAGACTTTTTCCTCATGGACTTGACTCTTAAATTCTATAACATTTGCTCCAGTGTAACTCTGACAAAACAATTGCTTTTTTTTCTTTTTGTTACTTTCCATAAACTTCCCTATTAAGCAATCCATTACATAAGTTTTGGCCTTTTTTCACATATGGTTTTTACTTCTGTCAAATACTATTCATTACATTAAATTCAAAAATATGCAGTTTCTCTTCTTAGGTGAGACCTTCAGTTCTAGTACAGAGAACTCTTTCTCTACAGAGTCTGAATCACAGACTCTGAGGTTATCTGTCAACAGCAGTGGAATCTTAATGAGGACTTAGTCCTTAGTGTATAGATGATCATATCCTTGAGGTGACAAGAATGTGTGCTCAAAACTGAGTCCAAATATTCTGGTGTAAGGATAGCAACATTATAGAAGAAAATGAAATCTGCTAACTTATTTAAATTGCTTATCTATGTATAATCCAGATATCTTTATATTCTAACATGTAGTGGGAATCTACTTATAGGTTCCCAGCCGCCCAGCTAGCTTAGACCCAAAATAATCACACAGAAACTGTATTAATTAAATCACTGCTTGGCCCATTAGCTCTAGCTTCTTATTGGCTAACTCATATATTAATTTAACCCATTTCTTTAATCTGTGTATCGCCATGTGGTTGTGGTTTACCAGCTAAAGTTTCAGTTTGTCTGAATCTGGTGGTGGCTCCATGGCTTCTCTCTCTGACTCCACCCTTCTTTGTCCCAGCATTCAGCCTAGCTTTCCCTGCATACCTAAGAACTGCCTTGCTATAGGTCCAAAGCAGTTCCTTTATTTATTAATGGTAACCACAGCACACAGAGGGGACTCCTACATCATTAGTACTTGATTCTCATGTTGTAGAGTGGAAGAGAATCAAAGGTTAAGTCTGAAGCATGTAAATTATTAGAAGAAGAAAATTAAACCCATAACACTTCACTTTCAGCATCTATACCCAAGTTCCTTATACATCTCCAAAGACCTGACATATGACTCCCTCCTTCTTAAACCTAGAATCTCATATCACCAATTATTTACAAATCAAATTTAGGTGAGACTCCATGTATGATTCAATATGGAAAAATTACTCCTCAACTTCACAGCTATGAAACCACACCCACAATCTTCTCCCAGCTTATAAAGATAGTAGAGACATAGAAAAGATGAATATTCTAATTCCAGGAGAGAAAATTCAGAACAAAGATAGTAGTTCTGAGCCTGAAGCAATTCCAAATTAGGTAGGCAAATGCCATCAGATTTTAACACTGATGAATAATTTGCTTAGATTTTCCTAAGGTCTACTATCTATCACCAAGCAATCTTAACAAATTTAACATCTTTTCCAGTGACAAATGCAAGTGTTTTTTATGATTATAATCTCATATATTTCTTTGGCTCATAAGATAAACATATTCTTTAGAGTTGAGCTCTAAGATACAGGGAGTCTTAGAAAGCCTCAGTGCAACATGTCTACCCTTTTGCTTTTCATGGATGGCATTGGATACAACCATTTGCAATCCCAAAATGGACTCACAGAATAAATCATTTTTTCAGAGTTTCTGAAGCCCACATCATCACTATGGAAAGATTTCTATCTAAGATTTTTGAGAAACTATGAGTGATAAGAAATATCTTCTGATACATTACTGACAACCTCTCAGTGTCTCAGTGGCACTATAATCAACAGACATGTTCCAACATATTTTGCAGCTCAAAAGTTTCTTCACCTTTTCTCATAAGGACCAAATCTTTAATAATTATATGGTCTGGGAGGATACTATAATTAGACATGTTGTTTTCTTTCATGGCTTGGAAGGAACTATACTTGAGAACCAGATCCAGCTCATCTTTCTCTAATTTCTTTCCTAGGAAGTCACAGATCTTCTCTATGGTTTCTCTTGTGTCCTGAAACAAAAGGAAACAAAAATGAGGGTAAGAAACACTAAGCCCCAAGAGAACAAATGTAGTGAATGGGACTGTGGATGTAGGATAAAAAAAATAGACATAAGAGACAGCCATGGTCCTGCCTCAGCTTGATATACCAAACTTTGCAGACATCCCATAGGAAACCTTATCCTCTATGAGGAGTGGGTGGGTTTAGAATGCAGGGAAGGTGGGTGGAATTGGGAGGAGTGTAGTGAGGGGGAACTGTGGTTGGTATGTAAAATGAAAAAAAAATCCTTTCAATAGAAAACTAGTGGATAAAAAAAGGGCATGAAAAAAGAAATGGTACCATTAAACAAAATAAAAAACACTGAATGGGACTTAGAAATGAAAGAGGATACATAGAGGGGACAGGAGTCACACAGAGTATTTATATATTGAGTGGGTTTGCAATTTGGTTTGACCCTGGACCTACAAGACAGAAGCCCCTTTTTGGGGTGTAGAGCCACACAAGTCCTAAAAAGAAGTTTAAGAAAAAAAGAGGACTTCTAAACCCACAAGAATGAAAGACAAGCGCAACTTCATGAGAGCCACATTTTTTTTTCAGACTGGCTCTTGTAGGATGACCACTTGTTTGTTCCCAGCTGCTCAGACCTGAAATAACCACACAAAAACTATATTATTCCCAATATTGTTTGGCTAATAGCTTAAGCATATTTCTGACTAAATCCTATATGCTAAACTTACCTATCTCTATTAACTTGTATATTACCATGTGACTGTGAGTTACTGGCAAAGTTTTGGCATGTTTGTTTCTGGTGGTGGCTCCATGGTTTCTCTCTGACTCTAACTTCTTTCTCCCAGCATTAAGTTTAGTTTTTTCCCTAAAACTCTACTCTACCCTATCAGGCCAAGTCAGTTTTTTTATTCATTAACTATTCATATTCACAGCATACAGAGAGGAATCCCACATCAGGCTCTGCTTTCTGGAATCAAGCAAAAGTGTGGCTTCTTTAAGAAAAGGCTTCCTGACTCAGCATTGGAATCAAAAACTGAGTGACTTCTTTGGGAAAAGGCTTCGTGGTTGTGCTGGTAACATGAACTTTCAGGAGGTCTTACTACTGAGCATATAAATGGGGTCTGTTAGCTAAGTACTTCAGTTGCTTAAAGATATCATAGATCCACTGAGTCTCTTCAGCTGAGGCAGTGAGCACGACTGACAGAAGCAGTGAACCTACCTCTGCTATGCTGGGCTTGGTGGAGACAACAGGCAAGGCTTGGAAGTTGGTCCTAGCCGTACCCGTTTAGTATTTTATAATAGGTGCACCTGGTCACACAATGACTATAGATATGCAATAAAGTCAGATTCAGACAAAAATAAACCTCTGAATGGGTTACAGTATGTTTAAAATATGTATGTAGGCTTGAGAGAGAGAAAAAGTGTTTAGATAAGAGTACAGACAGTCATAAATTAAAGCAGTAAAGATAATAAAATAAATATTAAAAAGTAATAGAGGAATATAAAACCATGTAAAAATGGAAAACACACAGAAGTCTGGATTATAAATATTATTGCATTTTCTTTGAAGTTTTTTAGCTGTAATGAGATATATGATTCTGGGGACTGCTAAGTTTTATATATATAAATATTATATATATATTAAAGGTATCTGGACTTCAAAATTTGAGTCTAATGATATGTTACCTTGGAAAAGAGGCTCTGCTTTTGTTTCTACAGAGGATGAGAATGTGTTAATATAGTTTAATGGAATAAGAGCCTCACCTTAAAAGGTCTACAAGAACCCTGAAATACTTCACTCAACAAATTTCAAGAAGCACTTTAGAAAAAAACCTACATTCGGGCCGTGGCAGGGTCCCGGCGAGGAGGAGCTTGGGCGTTCCCCGACCCCATAGACACCCAGGTCGCCCTGCAGTGCTGGCTACCCCCTCCCGCCTGCCATCCTGGCTCCCATCCAGCGGGGGCCCTGACTTCTAGCAGAGGACCATCGGTGGGGTGAGTTTCCTCCGGGCCGTGGCAGGGTCCCAGTGAGGAGGAGCTTGGGTGTTCCCCGATCCTATAGATGCCCAGGTTGCCCTGCAGTGTTGGCTACCCCCTCCTGCCTGCCATCCTAGCTCCCATCCAGGTACAAATTCCTATATTTCTCCCTTCCCCCTGGGGCCATAAAATTTTCCCCAGCTCAGCTGCCTTGCAAGCTGAGCCTGCATTGTAAGTGCATCTAGGAAAGAGGGAGTGCCTTTGCTTCAATAGCCTGCCTGAGGAAAGGTGGGCATTCTGTCAGTGAAGTCCCTGCCCAAGAAGGGAACCTGACCCGGTAACAGAAGTTCCAATAGAGAACATTTGAAGTAAGAGATGGGCAGACGCCAAGGCAAGACCTCATCCAACAATCTGAAAAACAACATGAAAACACCAGATCCCAAGGACCCTACAACAGAAGGGCTTGAACACCTTAACCCAGAAGAAGTGGAAAAAAGTGCCATTACGAAAGAAATAGAGTCCCTTAAACAGGATATGAATAACTCCCTTAAAGAATTGGATGAGAAATATAACAAAAAGTTGGAAGAAATGAGTATAGAAATTGATGAGAAATATAACAAAAAGTTTGAAGAAATAAGGAAATCCGTGAATGAGACCCTGAGAAACCAAGAAAAAACAATCAAACAAGTAAAGGAAACAGTGCAAGAATTGAAAACTGAAATGGAGGCAATGAAGAAAACACAAACGGAGAACCGGCTGGATATGGAAAACCTAGGTAAACGAACGGAGACTACAGAATCAAGCATAACCAATAGAATACAAGAGATAGAAGAACGAATCTCGGAATCTGAAGATACCATAGAGAAAATAAATGCTCTGGTCAAAGAAAACGGCATTTCCAACAAATTCTCTTCACAAAACATTCAGGAAATCTGGGACACAATAAAAAAAACCAAATCTAAGAATAATAGGGATTGAAGAAGGAGAAGAACTACAGATCAAAGGCCCAGAAAATATATTCAACAAAATTATAGAAGAAAACTTTCCCAACCTAAAGAACAATATTCCTATGAAGGTTCAAGAAGCATACAGAACACCAAATAGACTGGATCAGAAAAAAACATCTCCTCGCCATATAATAATCAAAACACAAAACATAAATATTAAAGAAAAAATTTTAAGAGCTGCAAAGGAAAAAGGTCAAGTGACTTATAAAGGTAAACCTATCAGGCTTACACCGGATTTCTCTATGGAAACCATGAAAACCAGACGATCCTGGATAGAGGTACTGCAGAAACTAAGAGACCATGGATGCAAACCCAGACTACTATACCCAGCCAAGCTATTGTTCACTATCAACGGAGAAAACAAAATATTCCAGGATAAAAACAAATTTAAACAATACGTAGCTACTAATCCAGCCTTACAGAGAATATTAGAAGGAAAATCACTACCGAAGGAATCCAACATTCCCAACATGGCCTACAATAACTCGAACATCTAGCGACCATTCACAAGCACAAATCAAAGAAGAAAAACACATACACTCTACTACCTAAAAAAAATAAAAAGTGACCGGAGTCAACAACCACTGGTCATTAATATCACTTAATATCAATGGACTCAATTCACCTATAAAGAGGCACAGACTTAGAGATTGGATACGAAAACAGGATCCAACATTCTGCTATTTACAAGAAACACACCTCAACCACAAAGACAGACACCTACTCAAGGTAAAGGGTTGGGAAAAGGTTTTCAAAGCAAATGGACCTAAGAAACAAGCGGGCGTGGCCATTCTAATATCTAACAACATCGACTTCAAACTAAAATCAATCAGAAGAAATGGAGATGGACATTTCATACTCATAACTGGAACAATTCATCAGGAGGAAGTCTCAATCCTGAATATCTATGCTCCTAATATAAAGGCACCCACATATGTAAAAGAAACTCTTCTAGAACTCAAGGCGGTCATCAAACCACACACACTAATAGTAGGAGACTTCAACACTCCTCTCTCACCAATGGACAGGTCAATCAGACAGAAACCAAACAGAGAATTGAGAGATCTATTGGAGGTATTGAATCAAATGGACTTAACAGGCATCTATAGAACACTCCACCCAAATAGGAAAGAATATACCTTTTTCTCTGCAGCTCATGGAACCTTCTCGAAAATTGACCACATACTCGGTAACAAAGCAAACTTCCACAGATACAAAAAAATATTAGTAACTACCTGTGTCTTGTCAGATCACCATGGACTAAAATTAGAATTCAACAACAATGCTCCACCCAGGAAGCCAACAAACTCATGGAAACTGAACAGTCAACTACTAAATCACCCCTGGGTCAAGGAAGAAATAAAGAAAGAAATTAAACTCTTCCTTGAATTTAATGAAAACAAAGACACAACATACTCAAACCTATGGGACACTATGAAAGCAGTGCTAAGAGGAAAGTTCATAGAACTAAGTGCCCAATTAAAGAAAGCAGAGAAAGCACACATTGGAGACTTAACAGCACACTTGAAAGCTCTAGAAAAAAAAGAAGCTGATTCACCCAGGAGGTCTAGAAGACTGGAAATAATCAAACTGAGGGCTGAAATCAACAAAATAGAAACACAGAAAACAATCCAAAGAATCAATGAATCAAAAAGCTGGTTCTTGGAGAAAATCAACAAGATTGACAAACCCCATCCATATTAATCAAACGGCAGAGAGAGAACATGCAAATTAATAAGATCAGAAATGAAAAGTGGGACATAACCACAGACACAGAGGAAATTCAGAGAATCATTAGATCTTACTACGAAAGTTTATATGCCACAAAGTTGGAAAATGTAAAAGAAATGGACATTTTTTTAGATAAGTACCATATACCAAAGTTGAACCATAACAGGTGAACAATCTAAATAGACCTGTTAGTCGCAAAGAATTAGAAGCTGTTATCAAAAATCTCCCTACCAAAAAAAGCCCAGGACCAGATGGTTTCAATGCAGAATTCTACAAGAACTTCCAGG